CAACTGCCTGAAGACAGCTGGAAGAGGCTCCAGCACGCCCCGCGACCCTTGTGAAGATAAAGTGGATCAGAAAATGGATGGATAATAAATAGTTTTTAGTCACAATAATCCTAATGCACCAGTGCGTATTAAGTGATGAGGAGAAAGTAGTTGGCTGGATGTCCAAATTACCAAATAAAATAAGGGGCCTACTTTTTAGAGGTAGATATAGTGAACGAGAGGTTAGGGGATAAAGGTGGACATTTGGACACAGCCCGGAATAAAAAAATCTTGGGTGATTGAGTACACTTGACCGAGGTCTCGCTGGAATGGCATTAAAGCAGAGCAGATCCAACTTTGATCAGCAAAACAGCAGGCAATTTCATTATTGTCAGGAAAGAAAATTCATACAAAACAATGCTAAATAGACCGCTGAACAGGAAATGTTACTGCCTCACATATGTCAACCGGGAGGAGTGGCCTAGAATATTTAATTTTTTAATACATTTTTGTCAGAAGCATTCTTTTTTATGCATATTATTTAGAATTATATCGATATCCGGGCAAAAATATGCACTTTGCTTTTGTTTACATATGATAATTTTGTACAGCAGCACTACTGGATGCATTTCTCATTTGATAGAGGTCTCTTTCATGTCATTTCAAAACAAAGTGGGAAAAGGTGAGCAGTCAAAATGTGTTGTATGATTGTTTTTAAATGAATAAATCAAAATATATCGTTATTGGGATATGAAATGGCCTCTCACGTGATCAATTTTTTTCATCTCCCCCAGCATTAGCTGTTCGCCAGCAAATGTGAATCACTGCAGGAGATATAAGTCAAGTTAATGTCAAAGAAAAAGGTACTATCTGGGAAATTAAGATCAGCAAAGCCCTGCTTTTTACTTGGACTTTTGACTTGCGTGTGTTGCGGTTATATTGTGTGTTGGTGCGGGATGTTTGTTTTTTTTTTTGTTTGTTTGAGTGTTTGTTTTTTTAATAGCGCCAGTGTTTCTTCATGGGGGGCCTCCACCCTGGGAGGTGTGGCGGCTCTCATTCTTGTTGGCGTGAACTTGCTCCCTTTGGGTGCTCTTTTCCTCATATGGGTTCTCTGTGCCTTGCCGTGTCTTTTTTAATATAGTTCATCAGGGTATGTGTGCATGTTTGGTATGTTCGTATGTTCGTGTGTGTGTGTGTGTGTGTGTGTGGGTGTGTGTGTGTGTGTGTGTGTGTGTGTGTGTGTGTGTGTGCCTATGTGAGCATAGGCATGTTTGTGGGGATGTGTAAATGTCTGTGTATGTTGGGGGCAGGGTGGCTCCTCTCTATATCTTGTAATTTTGACGTTTTAATTGCAAAGCACTTTGAGTTGCGTTTTTATCCATGAAAAGTGCTCTGTCAATAAAGTTTGATTGATTGATGTGTGAATTTTATTTTATGGAACCATGAGTGGGGTGGCATTGAGCAAAATGACTTCCGAGTTATGGAGAGCACAAGGGCCATAAGTGTGCTTCTATGCTGACGTTGCAGTTTAATCAGCTCATAATTGCTCAGGCTCGTGCTCGTGTGCTCATGTGCTCATGTTGCGTACTCGCTCATGGGTGCGCGTGTTTTCAGCTTCATGCTGCATTCACGCAGGCTTGTAGAATGTCTGTGCCAGTTTATAGCGATAGTTGACATTTTGATGCATGTAAACGTAAACGGCCATTTGCGCCCAGCATCCAACAAGCTCCGTGTAGACACTGCATATTAACATATGTTCTTGTTGAATGTTTCAGGGTTGAATAAAGCTCATTTTATAGTGCAATCATGTAAAAGTACAGAACAATAATGGCCTGATTTTCCTTTATTCCTTTTTGTATTTCTGTACATGTGGCAAATTGCAATCTTTTGAGTTCAAATAAATGCCAAATTTGCGAACACATATATATATATATATATATATATATATATATAAATTTTTTAAATTTATTTTTATTGTTCATTCAGCTATTATTAACATATTTTACACGAGCAAACAGAAAAAAAAATCTGAGCAACTAATTACTTTTACAAGAGTCAGTAACACAGGTACTTTTGGGAAAAACTAATTTGTAACTATAATTAGTTTTTAAACTAACATGCCCAACAGTGGTTGTGATGAAACGGAACAACAAACAATTCATCAACAAACAATTTATCGGAATCAGCCATCTTTGCTATTCACATTTGCCTTGAACGCTTTGAGGTATGAATTGGGAAACTGCGAGTGGATGACTGAATCTGATTTCCCACCTTCTTCTGATCCAACATTAGTTTCCGACATAATGTATTTAGACTGTTGTGGCGCGTCAAAGTATGGCAAGGGAGGAGGGACATCTTACCTGAATGTCAGCAGCGAAAGAAACGTTCAAACCTGTTTCATAAAAGAAACTACAGTAGCCACAAACCTTTTGGACATCAAAAATGATAATCAATTTTCTTTCAATTTTTTTTTCCTTGTAAATTCTGCTGTAGACACCCTTTCAATCAGGTGGTCCGTTTAAAACAACGTGAGCACAATGGCCATATTGGATGTGGTTGGACGTAGCAAAGTGAAGTGTTTACTTTCGCCTTGGAGATGTATAATCACTGCATTATTACCTAACCATTGCTTTTTGATTGCATTAGCATTTTAGCAAAATTATTTGCTGATTTTATGGTGAATGCAATGGCCACAGGCGGCCCGGTGGGCGACTGGTTAGCGTGTCGGCCTCACAGTGCAGAGGTCCAGTCTTCCTGTGTGTAGTTTGCATGTTCTCCCCGTGCCTGTGTGTGTTTTTTGCGGGGACAGTGACACTCCTCTACAATGAAATCATGTTTGCAGCAAGAAATTTTTCACAACAGGGGGTTTTTCACTTCAAATTTTATCTCAGATGTAAACACACACACACACACACACACACACACACACACACACACACACACACACACACACAAAACGTATATGTGTACTCTTTGTTTTTATTCCAATACTGTACATAGTGCATAAATATGAGCATACACTTATTTGATATTATTTAACATTAACATGTTGTTTTATATTAATCACTCAACTTTGTCTGTTGCTTTAAAAAAGTAATTTATACTTTTATAAAAAAAAAAAAGGAAGTTTCAATAGCTATAATTTGATTTCAAACTTTACTTCTATTAAATGCACCTGAAGCATAACACTACTGGAATGAATAATATGTCTACTGTATACAATAGACATAACACCTTATGAATATGTAATTAATAAATTTAATGATACAGAACTAAGAAAAAAAACACCCAAAAATCAGTTACCGGTACATTTTTTTGGTTATGTTGTAAAGCAACATTTGAATTGTCTATCCATTCGTGAAAAAATAATTGATAGAAAATAAAAGTATTGATTGGTTAATTTTTAGCTGGTTTAAATTGGAATTTAAATCAATGATTTTTGAAATCAAACAATCCTAATTCCAAAGACACTTCATACTGTACAGTACTGTACTGTATAGCCAATGTACAGATGTGCACAAAGATAAAAAAAGGGAAAGAAATTGCGAAATTTATGATCAGCATTTGCTTTCACTTACATCAATTTCTTGGTTAATGTCTTTTATTTTGCTTCCTCTGTCTTTCATTTTGATCACTTTTACCCTCTCTTCCAGCATCAGAGCTCTTCTTGTTTTACCTGCTTGGCATCCAAAAATCCGTTTTGTAGCCATTTTAGCAATGCAATGAAACACTTCCTGGACTACTGTGCATGTGTAAACCAGTGTGTTACGATGCATTGTTTGTCCACGGTGTCGCCCCTCCCTTTTTGTTGTTCCCTTTTTTAGCGTGGACTGGGCGTCTCGCTAATTGGTGCACCTGACTCCCTTACACACCTGCGAGTCTTCTGCTCATCAGCCACTTGCAGCATAAAAGCCAGCCTGAAAAACAACCCGTTGCCAGTTTGTCAGCAATTCCTTCCTGCCGCACTCGCTTCTGCCCAGCCGTTACGCCCCTGCTCTCCTTGAGTTGGTCGTTTTTGTTCTACTATTTGATTCCTGCCACCTTGACCTATCCCACTCCTAGCTAAATAAATCCTTCTGAGTTCATTGTGTCTGCGTGTGGGTCCTGTGCTTTTTTTTCCACGAAGCCTAACACAGTGTGTCGGTAGCTGTTGCAGTTTCGGAGTGAAGCAGTAGGCTGAGGTTGGATTAGACTTTTGTGGAAGGCTTGTTTTTGTTGTAGTGAATCTCGTCGCGAGACAAGAGCAGAGAAAAAGATTTCGTATAACGGAACGGGGGGATTTTTCGTTGTAGTGCACAGGTGTCGAACTCCGGTCCTGGAGGGCCGCAGGACGGATCAGACCAGATCATCAGCAAGGTCTGCAGAAGCCTGACATTGAACCTGTTCATTTGAGTCAGGTGTGTTGCAACAGGGAGACTTGGAAAACATGCAGGACAGCGGCCCTCCAGGACCTGAGTTTGACACCGCTGTTGTAGGGGGAGCAGAAAGTAAATTTACTTTTCTGAGAATTTTTAGGCCAGCAGAGAAGGCCTTGCTGGCCCTCAGGGTCCGCCACTGTGCAACACTGTTAAACATGACCCTGTCCCAGCTTTTGTTGAACGTGTTGCAGATATAAAATTTCAAGTGAATGATTATTTGCCCAAAACAATAAATTGTATCAATTTGTACATTAAATATCCTGTCTTTGCAGTGTATTCGATTCAATCCAAGTTGAACATGATTTGCAAATTACACAATGTCTAAACTTCATTGGAATTGGGTTTGTAAATGTTTTTTTTTAACCTGTATTTCTTTGTTTTTTTCGTTGTGTTGAGAGCCGCAATTTGAATCACTAGTGATCCATGGCATTTCAGTGGGGAATATTGATTTGATATGGAAGCAAACTGAGTTGAAAGCTTGCTCAATTCGATTCGTCAGTCAAGTCAAGGTACCTTTGTTATTGACATCCTCTTCAGCTTCTGCCCACGCCCAACCGGTGCACGTGCGCACGAGACAGGCGGGTTGCTCTTCCATATATGGTCCTAACTTCCTTTCCGGACTCGTGGCTGGATGAGTGCAGAGCTGAGCATCACGTCTCTCGCACGCGGCTCCTCTCCCAGTTCGCAGCACTGCAGCTGCTACTACGCGTAATTAGGTCAAATACGAAAACTTGAAATTGTGACTGATTGTCTTTGCCCCTTTCTCTTATTATTTTCTTGATAATTTCTCTCGTCGATCAGTGGGGAATGGTCCGCGCTTTCGCCTCGGTTCGTGTCCACTTCAGCATGGGAACTGCGGCGTCCAAAAGGAAGAATCTGAGGAGTGATGCGATATCATCCGTGGCCGCAAAAGTTCGGTGAGGCGCTACAATTGTCTGTCAGCTCATTTAAGTAAAATAAAGCTGTACCGTGTGTGAACTGCTGCGGAACATTGCGAGTGAGTATGAGAGCTTCAAGTGATGCTTGGAAAAACATGTGGCCGAGACTTGTGAAATAATAGACGCGCCTCTTGTTTGTGTGTGTGGGTTTTTTTTTTCCACTTTTAAGTTGCCAGACTAAAAGAAACCCCTCCTCACATTTAAATATGCATCGAAGAATATTGTACCGTAGCAGAGAATAGTTTGGACTGACTGGACTGCTCGCTCGTCGTGTTCCATCAGTTGAACGTGGAAAACGATTCGACTTCTACCACAACTTGAAAGAGCAGAAAGGAAATAAGCGTAGAGTGCCCGATGACAAGTTTGAAATAATATTTTAATTACCATCTACTTTCAGGGTAACAGGGGCAGTCACGTTTATTTATGAGATTTATATGCAATCATTACACTTCTACTATAAGTTTTTTTTTTTAAATAAAGTAGACATTTTGGATTAGTGTACCTTTTACAGGACTGAGATCTTCCAAAGTGCAGTAAACCATCCCAGAGAAAAGCCAAGTAACCGAAGTAAGCTACCTTTACAAACCAAATTGATATTTTAGGTTGTTTCTATGTAATGTATATTGTAATATGCAGTAATTTTGATTTGTATTTGGTCACTGACAAACGTAATAACCTCCAGCTGGTCTCAGTGGACTTGCACTAATTGTAACAACATTTCATTTTGAATTGATGCGGACTGCAACTCAAGGTCATTGTGTCAGAACAGTGTGTTCTCAGTTTAAAAGCCGTCTCGAATGCACTTTGATTTGTGAACTCGCAACCGGCCTGAAGAAGCCTCGAATCTGTCATGTGTGCATGCGGTTTGTATTCATTTCAAATTCAGTTATTTGTCGGTCCTCTCAACAGCTTGGCTAATTGGTCAAACAAATGTATGCAAAGGAAATTGGAATATTAACTTAGTGCCTCTGTGTTTGAATGTTTTTTTTTCCCCGATACTTTTAGAAGCATCTCACAGATTCATAGTCTACGTTATATACAGACTTCAGTTCAGGAAAATGTGTTCCACAGTTTTTCCTGCACCGTCACTGACAAATAATTAAAGGTTTAATGGCAATTAAACCATGGTGGTGTCTTTGAATCCCAGTCAGTGTTCCAATCAAAGCCTCTGAAGGATACTCATGTATTGTTACTGTGAATGGCAGGAGAAGAGCTCACTTTTCTCTGAGAAATCAAACTGTCGGTATTCTTTGGTTAACCAGATAAGGCATTTCAGAGCAGCTTTTCATTTACAATGCCGACATGGAGACAATTTAGAGTTCGGGACATTCTAATTGCAGACAGTCGGAGCCGGGATTTGAACAGCAGACCCTTCAGTCAGTTGACGACCGGCTATACCATCCTAGCCACAGCCGCCCAGTCACACATCCTTGTGAATTTTAACTGCATAATACTGTGCATAAAACTTGGGCATTTTGCATGGAAAAATAATGAGATAAGTTTTTATATACCTTGTGTTATTTTATCTCTTGAAAAATTCCAAAAACAAGGGCTTCTAGTGCAGTGCAAAGGAAACGTCAGTAACATTTGTCGCTTTTGTCACCCAGCTTTAACATTAGTATTATTATTTTTTTTTTTTTTACTTTTCTCTTTGAAATCATTTTTTTCAGGCAATACAGTGGTTGATTGGTCAGCACATTTGTCTCCTAGTAACACTGTGGGTTCAAATCCGTGCATCAGCCTTCCTGTGTGGAGTTTGGATGTTTCCTCCAAATTCCCATAATGTGGAATCTAGGTTCATTCAAGACTCTATTTTCTATAGGCATGAATGTGAGTTGATTGTTTTTTTGTTTTTTTCCATGTGTCCTGTCATTCTCCGGTGACCACTTTGATTGATTGACTTACTGAAGATATACACACATAACCAAATCTGCATGACCAGCTCAAGGTGTACTTCACTTCTCTTCCAAAGTCAGCTGGGATAGGTCCAAGCGCACCTGCGACCCTAGTGGGGATAACCAGTACTGTACAGATGATGGGTGGATGGATGGATGGAAGTAGTTTTCCCACACATTGTTGTACCATATAGAGTCCCACAATAGGCAGAGTGGCAAATTCAAACATGAGCCTGCGGAAGATGTAGACAATTGGTTGAGAATGTCTACAAATGGCGCTGTGTGCCGTATTTACAGCTCATGCACCCAGGCCCCCAACAATTTCAGTATTCGCCCATAGAGTTAAAATTCAATGGTGCACTGAAAGACATCGAAAGAAGAAAAAAATATTTTTCTTACTTACAGGCAAACGTTAGGTTCACGAAATGGAAACTTGTGGATATGATAGTTTAGCATGCCCTCAAAAATGTTTATTTTTCACACGAATATTTACTGTTTGTGACTTTACTATTGCATTAGTATAGATTAGTGATACAGCACTGTAGACTACAGTACTTTCTTTGGTAAAAGTTTAAGTTACGTGGCTGCCGTTGGAATAGCTCTCAAAATGTAAATCGTTGACCTCCTCTCCTTCCCTGTTGGGGGTCAAATACTCGTAACATAATGGCCACGAAAGGATAAATGTAATGACAATGTATTGGAATATTGACTGGTTGGCATGACATTGTATCCTTTGCAGAAAGTGTCATTGTAATGCTAATAAGAGGATGTATAGTCTTGATACTGGCCCTATGCACTGAAAGGATTAAGTGAAGACTGGAGTTGAAGGTTAAAGAGGTTAATGTGTGTATTACTTGGGGTGGATTTTTGTCGGTGCAGTCATGCAAGTAATGTCCTGGGCTTTTATGGAACTATCTTGAAGCAATTGTTTTATTTAAATGACATTTGGAAACATGAAAAATTTCAGAAAAAAGTCTCTCCACAGATTTCTACTGGATCCTTAACCCCACCCACCCCACCCCAAAGAAGGCATTCTCACTCTTGATCTAGCTCCCCACCCTTCCATCTAATTACACTTAATTCATTTACCCAAATATGTATTTAGGGCATTAGAAATTAATGTATTTTGGAAACTCCTGATATTAGTTTTGAGGTGCTGTTGTACATGACATGATCCATGACATACAGTACATTTGGGTTGATGGTAGGCTCACTTTGGCTGTGTTGTTTCGCCAAATCTCCTCTCTGTCTCCCCATTTGAAACCCTGAGCCATCTGCATAAATGGTTGTCCAACCTCATACCATGCAAACTGGATGAGATGTTTTGCATGCAATTTTTGCACCCCACTCCTTGGGGAGTCGCTCCATCACAGGTTTGTAAATGGTGTTTCTCCATCAAGTGCAGCTGAAATTGATCTCAGCGTTGTACAAAGACTTTCGTTGTCTTGGTTTCCATGGACAAGACACTAGCTTGGCGGCTGCCTGGATGATCTCTGGTTCAATAGCCACATCAGCAGAAAGACTGTAGGCAGATGATCAAAAACTGGTTTTGCTGTCAAAAGATGTGTCTTTTAGTTGGTGTTGTTAGAGTGGATAAACTTCAAGGATGTAAGTCCAAAATTTATGAACGCCACAGAGTAAAGCAAGCTCGGTGGGGGAAGACAAAGAAGCATCCGTGGAGTGTATTCGTTTTTGACTCTAGTGTGAGGTACTGCCCTGGTGATACAAGACCTTCAATTCGTTTGACCCATTGGCCAAATGAAAGCACCTGAAAGGAAAAGCTGTGCACAATGCCGTGCTTCGGGGAGCCATGCTTGGATGGTGGACACGTGAATTCCTTCCTTCCTTCCTTGCTTCTTTTCTCCCTTCCTTCTTTCCATTCCTTCCTTCTTGCCTGCTTACCTAACTGCTCACTGAATATAATGATGATATAATCTAAAACCTGCAACATTATGCTGTAAGGGCGGCACAATGGTCAACTTAGAACATCCGCCTCACAGTGCAGAGGTCGTGGGTTTCTATCCGGCCCCGGCGTTCCTGTGTGGAGTTTGCATGCTCTCCCCATGCCTGGTGGGTTTTTTTCCAGGTACTCCTCCCACGTTCCAAAAACATGCGTAACAGGTTGATTGATCACTCTAAGGCAGCCCGGTGCCCGGTTAGCGCATCGACCTCACAGTGCAGAGGTACCGGGTTCAATTCCAGCTCCGGTCTCCCTGTGCGGAGTTTGCATGTTCTCCCCGGGCCTGTGTGGGTTTTCTCCGGGTACTCCGGTTTCCTCCCACATTCCAAAAACATGCATGGCAGGTTGACTGAACGCTCTAAATTGTCCCTAGGTGTGAGTATGAGCGTGGATGGTTGTTTGTCTGTGTGTGCCCTGCGATTGGCTGGCAACCAGTTCAGGGGTTCCCATGCCTACTGCCCGAAGACGGCTGGGATAGGCTCCAGCACCCCCCGTGATCTTTGTGAGGATAATGCGGTTTGGAAAATGGATGGATGGATGGATATATTCCTTCTAGTGGATAGCAAGTCCACCTCACAGTGCAGAGGTGCTTGGGCCTTCGTGTGTGGAGTTTGTTTGTTCTCCCCGTGCCTGTGTTGGTTTTCTCTGGGTACTCCGGTTTCCTCCCACATTCCAAAAACGTGCATGGCAGGTTAATGGGATGTGACTGTCTATGTGTGCCTTGCGATTGGCTGACAACTAGTTCAGGGTGTCCCCCGCCTCCTGCCCGAAGACAGCTGGCATAAAAATCCTACCAATATAATTAAGAATGATATCTCTATTATCTATATAATATAATATCTCAGATTTGCTCAACTGAAGTGAAAGCAAACAATGTTTTCTCTTGTACTGTGTAGTATGCTTACAGTAAATAAGACTGCACTGTACTTGTTACGTGTTTCAGGCTCCTTTACAGCTCTCTGTACCTTGTGCGTTCATATACAGTACCGTTGTATGAAAGCATCACCCCCCACCATGAAAGCACCTCATGTAAACAAATGAACAAACACAAAACTCTTCACAAAAGCAAAAATCCCCGTCCCTTCTTTCATACCAACGGCGGCTCCTATATTTGCCCCTCCAGCTTTGTGCCATTCATTGCTCATTAATGTCTCCCACTGGGAGGCATCTATACGCCACACTGTTCAGCGTATACATTGACTTGTGCCTCTTCTTCACAATAATGTGGGCGAGTAATCATATTTACCTCATTTGAGTACCTCCCATGCACATAATGTTATCCATTTTTTGGATCTTCGTCTTCATCTATTGTCTCTCTTCTTGTTTAATACAAATTCCTTGCTTATTTTTCTTATCATCATCCCACTTCCCACTCTGCGCTTACTTTCTATTTTGGTCTTATAGACGCTTGTCACCGTATTTCTTATGCTCCCTCCTCCCCCTCCATGTCACATGGCTGAAAACATGCAGTAGAAAAAAAAAATCCAAAAGCACATGGCAGAGCTGCTGATCGTACAGCTGCACTCAGCCATAGCAAGATGAGGCACAATCGGACAGTTTCATCACACTAGTATGACGGTAGTACTGTGTTTCCTCATTTTTGTGTGCCGTTCACCAAGGACTAAGTGCTGAATTGGAAGGGAAACTCACAGCCATGTGATTCAATTGAACAGATTCAGTGATGACAATAAGCTTTTGGTTCAAACAGAGTTCATGATTCTCTTTTTCATGAGCCAATTTGTATGATTCAATTTACATGAAGAGATGAATTATTGTCTGATCTGTTAACCAGTAAGCATCTACAAACAAAATCAGTTGTCTTCTATATATCCCATACCGTGGGATTTTGTATATTTTTGGGCATTTGCCGCGTCATGTACTTTGTAGGCCCACTTCACGTTCAATATTTCAAACTGTCTGGCAGGAAAGTGACATTGTATTCAGGACAAGACAAACTCATCAAGTCCAGGGCTGACTTTGAACATTGCTTTGCCTTGTCCTCTGTGAACTGGGCTGTGAACATGTTGACATCACTCTCTTCAGAGGGTAGCATATGGATTTTTTATAAGAAGTGCTCTGAGTCATGCAGATAGATTAGGGATGATTGCATTTTCTTCCCCGTGTCCTGCCTCCTTCTCCCCCCGATTCATCCAAGCCGGGAGGGGAGTCTTCATGGGAAATGCCGCCGCTGCACGTGCAGCCTCATATTTAATTACTTAGAGTGTCATAGCAAGAAGGCATATAGGCTACAGCGTCAACACAGCTATTCCATTTGACTGGAGCCCCAGGAGATTTATGTTTGAGTGCTTGTCGACAGCCTGCTGTACAGTGCATGTGTAACCTATTTATTTGTATGTGTGCTGCTCAGTACAACTGTGTAAGAATCTACCTATTGGAATACTAGATCTGTGTAGTCTGACTAATCACGTGATTTTATACACGTGTGCCTGTGCGTGCGTGTGTGCGTGCGTGCCTGTGTGTGTGTGTGACTGTGTGACCTTTACTATTTGTGGGATGTGTCCTTGACTGTGGGAAGGTCAACTGGACAATCTAAATAAAATTCTAGATCAAAATAAAGTGACAAATAATTGTGAACAGCAAATTAATTTCAAGATATTTGAGGAGCAACAACGTAGTTCAGTTAAAAGGGGCAAATATACATTTCAGTTTTCACAACATCATTCAATTTTTAGCAAAGTAAATTTTTGGAAAACAAATTCAAGTCAGGCTTTCTTATAGGGGTGTGTATTGGAAACATGTTTCATGATACATGTGAACTTTATCTGACGCGCATCGAGCAGCTTTGTATTTAGTACAGGCCAAGAGTCAAGCTCTGTTCTCGAGAAATTTGGTTTATGTGGCTCACAATGCTCTGTTAAGAGTTTCTGGCACCAAATTAGGTTTATGCACATAGTTGGCTGTGGCTTCACTAATATGTAGGTACCTGTTATCCAGAAGAGCCGACTCTGTTTCGGAGCTAGACAATGCAAAGTGGGGTAGCGCTCCATCCTGAACCATCCTAATTACTATGCAGATTGGAAGGCCATACAAGCCGTAAAGGGAATTTACTAATAAGAGGGATGCTAATATTATTTACATTTTCATTGACTATTTCAGTTTAACAGTCACATCACAAAACCGTGTTTTGAACATCTTACAGAACCATCCATCCATCCGGTTTATCCTCACAAGGGTCGCAGGGGGTGCCGGAGCCTATCCCAGCCGTCTTCGGGCAGTAGGCGGAGGACACCCTGAACCGGTTGCCAGCCAATTGCAGGGCACACAGAGACGAACAACCATCTGCGCTCACAGTCACACCTAGGGACAATTTAGAGTGTTCAACCAGCCTGCCATGCATGTTATTGGAATGTGGGAGGAAACTGGAATACCCGGAGAAAACCCACGCAGGCCTGGGGAGAACATGCATACTCCACACAGGGGTTCAATCCTGGCCGGAGCCGGGATCGAAACCACGACCTCTGCACTGTGAGGTCGACACGCTAACCAGTTGACAACCTGGCCACACAGAACAATGTTAATTTATATATTTATTTCATGCTTTTATTGTTGGAACATAAAGTGTCAAAGTTCCCTGTATGGTCTCCCAGCTCAACAGATGAACTGTGTTGCAGCTTGCAAAGCTGCGTGCCAGGTCAGTACTCACTTTATAAATACTGTTATACTGTGGTGATAGATGACAGTAAAAAAACAAACCTAATAGACAACATGCCAGGCTCAGCTTTTGAGATCAATGGACTACACAGTTGTTTTGAGCTGACGGTGAGTCCTGTTCGGGGAAGAAATCCGGTGATGGATACTGAATTGATATCAACAAATGTTGGTGCACAAACATTGACCTATCGGGATCTCCTGCTCCAGGCAATTAAGAGCAATTGACTGCTGGTATCGGAAGCTGGCTGTGTTGTGTACCTGTCAGTGCCCACAGACGGCAACGTGTGGATATGTGTGTGAGACGAAGTCAGTCATTCTCGACACCGATTGGCCACTTTGCATTCACATTTTCACACGGCAGCGAACTGGAAAAAAAGCCAAGTTTTTAGTGGTCACACTTACGTCGTATCCGATGCATCATCCGTGTTGCCCGGCACACATTCCCATCTACTCGCACAACCTTCCTTGACTTTATATCCTCAACTCACGTTCGGTCTGACTGCAGCATTAGGAAATAGCCTCATACAGATCTTGTATGGTGGTATCATCAAGTTGACACCTTTGTCTATGAAAGGGCCTCACAAACTTTCTCAGAAACATCTCTTGCAAAGTGATGCAGTGAGTGGTGTATCCTGGGGTTATGTATCCTGAGTGGTGTATCCTGTGTGTTCCAGATCTCGCAATATCAGACGCTCTCCCTCAGGTGACCAGGGGGTGACCAGGCCCCATTTTTAGACCCAGTCGCAACCCATGGGTCTGTCACAGCATTTCTTTGGCTTTCTCTGAGAGTCGCTCACAGATTGGATGGCCTTTTTCTCGGGCACCCCTGTAATGCCCAATTGGCGGAGGAATTTGCAGAGAGCAAAGTCTCGACAGCCAACTTCTTTGGGCTCATAGAAAGACCTCCAGCCCTTGCCCCCGCATGCCTCCACCAGTTCCTGATATTTGGCATGTTTTATTTCATCTGCTTGCCCAATCTACTCTTCCCAGGGTATTAAGTTCCAGCATGAGCAGGTGTTGTGAAGCCTCAGAGTTGATTATCATTTCTGTGCTGGGTCAACCTGCAGCTGCCATTCAGGGGCTGTGAGGGGTAGGCCAGTTGTCTGTGGACATGCCCAGGGTTTCTCTCCATCTTTGATAAAGGGGATTCCTTTTTAGAGTGTGATGGTGGTCACAAAATGGAAATCTAGGCTTTGACCGTTACACATTTAATTTTATTTCATGTGTACTTCTCCTGTCTTAACAGGGCTGCCAGAGCATTTGGAGAATATTTGTCCAATACAAATTCAGAGAACCGCAACAGAGCAGGTAGGTGAGGTCATTTGACCATGTTGTTTCACCTGAATTAAATGATCCACCCCCCCCCCCACACTTTGGACAGCAAGTCGTTCCATAAAATGGAATGTGAACAAAGCAAGGAGCTCTTACCTCAACACATTTGAGATCAACTAGAACATGTTGTCAACCAAGCCATCTCATCGAACATTAGTGACCTTAGATTTCACAAATGTTACTCTGGGTGAATGGACAACATTCCCAATGTCCCATTCCTAAATCTTACAGAAGGAAAGTTGCTGTTATGTTGTTTGGCTGAAGATTTTACCAACTCCATTTTGTCTTACATTTTCCATTTTTGCTTAGAATATTGGAATCCTAGACTTCTTTGTAGTCAACCCTAAAACACCTGGACAATAAAATTGTCGTCAGCCATTAGATTAATTTTTTTATCTTTAAATAGCATCCACTGACTTTCCTATAATCATTTTCATTTTTTTTTTCTGTAGATCATCTGTTGTCTGACACCTTCCTTGGCCACACCTGTGACTCTCCAGACGTCAGTCACTTGCACAACAACAATCTGCCACCACAGAGTAACTCTTTACCCATAGTAAAATCAAGCAAGGCTGGACAATCCAATCATAGTGCCCAGATACAAGCCCAACCTCAGGCTAACCCACTCAAAGCTCAGGCACCTTCTAAACGTAGACTCTCTGCTGAGCAAAGCCTCTCCACAGAGGACCCACCAAGTGCCAGAGACGCACAGGGTAGTGTGACAGTGAAGCCAGCTAGGGTGTACACGATCACAAAAGAGGTAAGGATGACTCTGGGCCAAGGCAGTGAGGAAAGCCTGGAATTGGAGGTGCTAAAGTGTGGCAAGGATGACCCGCTTTCCCAAGCGCAATACGATAACTCATCTTATCCCGACCAGCGATCATCTGCATCAACCCGGGGTAGCCACAACCGTAGTAGCCATCACCGCAGTTACCATGGCCACCAGAATCGTGGGGGGCCTTTGTCTTCATCTCAGTCACTGCAGAGCTCTAACAGTGCTAGTAATATCCGAGATTGGGGCATGAGGAAAAGAGGTTCAAGAGATGACAGCACTCCAGACTGTGTGGCCTGCATTCGTGCCCCGTGTCAAAGCCAGCGCTCCCTGGACCTGGAAACCTCACCACGGAATGGGAGGAAGCACCATAAGAAACTGGAGAGGATGTACAGTGATGAAAGAACATCTACTGATGACAGGGGTAATGCATGTTAGAAGTCATGATGGGTCGAATAATTATAGGTAGTTATCCATCCACTCATTTTCTATGCTGATTTTTCAGTTCAGCATCACAAGAAAGCAAGTAACTATCCGACCTGACTTAGGACCAGAAATGCAGAAGCAGTGTCTAGAAATATTAGTTGAACCCGTTATTGAAATGTTTGTTGCAATAACTCCTTGCAAAACTAATGAAGTACTGTAGTTGTTTTTGGAATGCTTCTGCATTTTGGCTAAGGTGTTGCTTCATGAATCACGACAAATCGAGTATGTTATGTGTTTGTCTGAGGTTTATCGATATGTATCTATATTTAAGATGAATGATTTTCCAATTTAGCAACACTGTGTCCGAGTGGTTACCAGGGCTTCCTTAAAGTTTTGAGGTTCATGGTTTGAATCTCAGTCCAGGGTGTGTCCTGCCCAAATTTAACTTAGATACTCTCCAAGTGAAGCAAAATGTATGGATGGATGTATTTACCTTTTCACAACAATATTTTACATTCAAGCTGTCCTTGGAAAAGGTAATCATTAGAAGGTCACATGATACGGTATACCTTCAACTAATGCAGAAAAACTGCTTATTTCATTTAAGAGCCTGATGCACCTCAGTAAAACTCACTTGTTGCTGTTCTACTTTCTAATTTTTGTGATTACAGAAGACAATTCTGATAGCTGGTTCCCCAAAGAGAATATGTTGAGTTTTCAGACAGCAACTACCACCATGCAAGCGTAAGTACAGCATATAATCGACATTTCTTCTCCCTCAATGTGTATCATTTACAATCAAATTCCTGTCAGATCTGCTGATTACTAAACTGGATTATAGCACCAGTGGGCTTTTGGTGGCCCGCAATAAAATGGCACTCTAAAATGTGCAGTTTTAATATATTGATTTCCTTTACATTTTATTGTGATATTATGATCACATGTAATTTGTTTATGTACTTTGGTATCCTATATGAAAGATGGGGTATGCAAAGACACTCCTGTTTTCCGCTCGAGTCGCTTAGCAAAAATATTTGGGTGATCGATCATGCCGTACGCGAACTCCCCTGTGAGCTGTCACGTGATGCCATTCAACTGATATCTACTGAATATTTGGCTGGCTGTGCTTCTGGCTTACCTTAAATCTTGTCTTCTTCCACTTCTTTCTCTGTGGCGGCTTTCCAAATCACGACTGTAGAATATCGTGAGTAATTCCTTCACACACCCACACTCTGCATATTTGGCATCTTGTTTGTTTCACTTCAAGTATCGCATCTTGAACCTTTTTTTCCCTCCCTCCATGTTTGCCTCTTGTACCTCTGTGCTATTCACTTTACTTTGTCCTCTTGAACCACATTGTTTGCTGGACTGAGTATTACCATCAGAAAACAAAGGTGCACAATTGGCACAATAAATCAGGAAAATTGTAATACTTCTTAAATAATCAAGAAATGCCACAGTGATACTGTTAGGTGAAATGTATATACTCAGTCCTGGTAGAAAAAAAGAATATTCATGATGATGCATGAAATGTAATGTTGAGAGCACATATTTGCTTGTTTGAAAAAAAAAAACATTGCCACCTTCAGTCAATCGTCGCTGCATCTGATGGATACGAGAACATGAACTGTATGTAGGAAACAGGACTAAAGCCAAAATGATGAATCTAGAAATCAAGTAAAAATAATTCTAGTCCTGTCGACATTCTTGTATGTAAAATGAGACTTGCTTGACAACAAACAAACAGCATGAGGAAGATCACTTAATTGCATTCAGTGGAGAAAATAAGGTCTTTTCACGGGCTGGGCAGTGATAATATTCACTGTACAGACATTTTTTGTGCATTGGTGGCTCTTGTCAGTCAAAACCTGACTGCTGGGTATGACTTGATATTTGATACACAGTACCACTCATTCTGTTTGACATCATGACAGAGACATTGCTGTCCTCTTTAGGGTCAAATAACAGTGCTCACTGACCAAGATGTGCAGTCCTTCAAATGGTTTGGTCCAATTAAATCTTGTCTAAAATTGCGGGTTATCAATCTACAATACCAGTAACTGGTCAACTAAGCGGTTCCCGAGGAATAATAACATTGAGAAGGCAAACTTGAAATTTAGTTTCTAAGTTAACTCAACTCAACTGTATTTATAGAGCACTTTCAAACAGCCATCGCTGCATACAAAGTGCTGTACATGGAGCAATTTAACATATACAACATATAGTAAAGCAAATCGGTAATAAAGACGGTAGAAAGCACCGAACAGCAAAACCAAGAAAAAATCTAAGTCATGCTGAGTCAAATGCCAAAGAATACAAGTGAGTTTTGAGGCGGGTTTTGAAGATGGGCAGCGAGGACGCTTGCCAAATGTTCAGTGGGAGGTCATTCCAGAGGGAGGGACCAGCAACAGAAAAGGCTCGATCCCCTCTGAGCCCCAGTTTAGTTCTTGGTACTTCTAATAATGTCTGGTCCACAGACCTGAGGCGCCGGGCAGGTGTGTAGGAGCGGATGAGCTCAGAGAGGTAAGGTGGCGCGAGGTCATTTAGAGATTTGAAAACAAATAAGAGGATCTTGAAAATAACTCTAAAATGTATGGGGGGCCAGTGAAGGGATGCCAGAGTAGGAGTTATGTGCTCCCTCTTACGAGTACCAGTCAAGAGGCGAGCTTTGCTATCTTGTGTCGTGGTCCTAGTGTGTGTGTGTGTGTGTGTGTGTGTGTGTGTGTGTGTGTGTGTGTGTTTCCGTACTGTATGAAATGTGCATTCTGCAATAACTTTCGCCAATCCATAAATAACGCTAAGAACTTCATTCACCTCTATACAACCTATAATGACTCACTTTGCTCTTAAAAGCAAAATGATGAAGCTATTCAAGCTCATCTCACACATTTAACCCTTGAATTAGATTTGGTTCAGACAGAAAAACTCATCAAATCAGGTCGCGTTGAAGCGTAATTTTACCCCCCTACCCTTCTCCCGGTACATGCTTAACACTTTGACATTCTGGCAGGGCTTTCCGGGGCATTGCCGAGAAAAAGAGACGGAAAAGAGAGCAGGATGCAGCCACCGTGATCGAGAGGTACCTTGTCCTGGCTTTCCTGTCCTGTCCTGTGTAAAGCTAAACCGTCCGCTGAACAACAACCCTGTCGCACAACAACAAACTCATCTTCTTGCCTATAAAATATGGATTTCCCTTTTCCCGAAAGAAAAAATGTTGATTTTTCAATGCTACCTAATAATAATTATCGTCATCATAATAATAATCATTATTATTATTGTTATTACTATTATTAGTAGTAGCTGTAGTATTATTATTATTCATTTAAAACATTGGCACATCATTAAAACATATCCCGTGTGTGATGAGCTACTACAGTCTTGGAACACCTGTAAAGTCAAATACGAAAGAAGGAAAATTCAATGTGGTTTTGCGTTTGGCTGGCAACCAGTTCAGGGTGTCCCCCACCTAGAGCCCGAAGTCAGCTGGGATAGGCTCCGGCACACCAGCGACCCTCGTGAGGATAAAGTGATTTAGATAATGGATGAATGTGACTTTCTTTTCAAAGCCCCCTCAAGAACATTGGATCAGATATCAAAAGCAATGTGTATCTTTCAAAGAACGTTAATTCTTGACAATTAAAGATCATTTGAAATTTGTGAAGGGAACATTACTGACATAAGTCATGCCATAATATTGATCATAACATTTAAGATTCAGAAAGGTTGATTTACTTCGACGGGGCTTGGCACAGAACAACTTTGCCATTGTTGGTGTACTTTTGGCCTTTGTATAGCATAAAATGGAAGAGATTTGAATTCATATTTTCAAGACATGCTTTTGTCGACAAGTACAGACTTTCAGCTTTGCCCAAATGTGGCATTTAACAATTTTATCTGAGATATATTTGGACAAGTAAATGTTTTAGAAGTAATATCTAATTTTGAATATTTAGATAAAAACCCAGGAAATGTCCCTCCTTGAAATGCTTTTCCTGGCCTTCATTCTTCACTTGTTTGTGGGTCTTGCTGCCTTTGGTCTTTTCTTTAGTAGATTAAAAAAAAACAGTGTATTTTCCACATTAAAAGGCGCACTGGATTATGAGGCGCACCTTCAATGAATGGCCAATTTTGTAATTTTTTTTCATATATTGGACGTACAGTACATTATAAGACGCAATCTACAATGCATCCACTAGATGGAGCTACACTGAAGGAAATTCCAACAGAACGATCAGATGTCAGTAAAACTTATTTAATAAAGGAGCGACACAATTCACTTATCCAACAGCAAGTTATAACATGGACTCGTTAACGTTGAACTCTCTTGCCGCTGCTCTATTTCCGTGTTCAACTGCGTAACCCGCCTTAAGTTTTAACTCTGCGTTGTAAGTATGTGTCTAGCAAGGAGCCATTTTGGGGTCCACATATTACCGTAATAACCATACACAAGGCGCATCGGATTTTAATCCGCACTGTGAGTTTTTAAGAAAATGGAAGGCTTTTAGGTGCGCCTTTTAGTGCGGAAAATACGGTATGCTGTTTTGGGTTTAGATCAGGGCACTGACTGTGTCAAACACCGAACAGGACATCACTGTCCATAGCTGATGCAGCTATTTCCAGCTTTGATGCTGTCCACTGGCCAGTCAAGGATTTAGTTCGACAAATTGAACTGAAGCAGACTACTTGGTGGAACTGTGGTTCAAGGAACTCACTCAGTGTCTTTACTTAATGCTTCGTATTGGGGTTCTTGCCATCTGTGTTTGAGAGTGTACCATATGTGTCGGAGAGAAAGTTGTCTTTCAACGTTTTAAACCAGGCAAGGGAAAAAGTTTCTTTGTGTGCCTGTTTGTGCGAGCACATGTGTGAGTGCCTGATCAGACTTCGAAATACCAGGCTTTCAACAGAGAGGTGCACCTCATTCAGATTTACAATTTATACCTGCATCAATATGCAAGGATTTTTTTCTTTTTCTTTTTTTTTCTTTTTTTTTGCTGCAAAGGTCACAGGAGATACTTTGCACACACACCGGCATGAATTTGACACCAGACTCGCTGTGTGGGTGTGAAGTGATTTTAAAAGCTGTTGTCACTCAGTAAAAAGTGTTTGCTGACTGATAGATCCTCCCCTTCTCTGACTCATGCCTCTATTTTAGGCTCCGCATTGACGACTCCCGCAGCCAGCACTGACATGGAATGCCTTTAACTATATAGACTAGCAACACAATGTCTAAGAAAGAAAAAAAAAAGATCAAATGTAAATGGGTTTGGTTTTCAAAAAATACTCACAAAGTAGTTGGGGTGATTAGGTTTTTTTTTTTTTTTTTTTTTATGGTCATGCAATGTTATTTCCAATGAATAACAAAATAAATTACAAACTCATATTCGACTATCCATCAGTCTTTGTGTTTGCAAGAATGCAACAGGTTGATTGCTTAGAGGAATGCATGTCATCCCATCTCTTGAGTTTCAAGGATGTCAATCGCCCCGCTTGTGTGCCATGGCGCTTTTTAATTTTCTCAAATTTACTGTCGATGATTTCAGTACAGTAATTATGAAATCTCCCGTTTTGTTCTATCATAGGAACTCAAACTGAGAAAGACAAATCAGACCTGACTGACAAATATGTTAGTGTTTGAGTTTAACAGCACTGAACAATCACACTCAGGGACATCATGTTGAATAATGAAGCACCTTAAGGCCACATATGGTTCCATTTGTAAACCTCTTAAGGCAGACCCTCTGGTTCATTTCTCACTTCTCAAGTACTTTGTAGTTTCTTACTTCATTCAAGTGTTACCATTGTGATAAAACAAAAAGAAATCACAGATATCGTTGTAGTCACGTAAAGTACTGTTCGGGTAGACACCCAGGAAAACATTTACACACACACACACACACACACACACGCACACACACACACACACACACACACACACACAAACGGAGAGACAGCGACTAAAAGTCAGTTTTATTGTCTTAGTGTCACATTTGTTTGATGGGACCTCCTAGATTGACACTTAAAACCTAAAGTTTACTTCTTGTGACTGTAATTTTGGCAGGGTTACTGAAACCGCTTGACATTGTCGTTTGTCTGTGTTTGTGTCAAGAAGGCCCATTATTTAGCCCTTAACATTTGACCCTACTTAAGCTGTATAAACATACATCATGAGACTTACCTACCTACCTTACTTTACCTATTCAGGAATTAGGGTTTGACTTAGACTTATCCTCACCTGAATCTTTATTCTTCCCCAAAGTGAGATATTTTTGGAGAAAACTGTGGTTTTCAGATGACAGGTCCTGTAAGTGTCTTGGCCAGATGTCTCCAAAATTGGGGAATCGATATGGTTGTGTGGGCTTCCCCTGCATTGTGGCTTGACCCATCTAATATACACTGTGCACTCACCTTTGTAGACCCTCCATCAGTTGCAGCTTCACATGCTCGTTACCTGTGTGTTCATCTGTGTTTTCAAAAGATTTGACAGTATTTTTTTTTTGTCTCTGATCATACTGCCTCTTCCTGACATGTCATTTTTTTTTCTATTCCCAAACACGACAGAAACTTCCGCAAACACCTTAGGATGGTGGGAAGCCGAAGGGTGAAGGTCCAGAGTAAGTGAACGTTTGTCTATGCATGTTAAGGTGCTGATATCAGTTCATGTTAGTGCTTCAGGAGTGACGCATCCAGCTTGAAATATATTAAGGGAGGAACCGCTCTATTTGTCTGCTGTAGGGACTATCTGCGAATAACTAATTTCCGCCAGTAATTGACTCAACCCTTTCATTTTACCTCCACTGAATATGAAAAATGTCTGCCTGTTATTTCAGCTATCTTGCTTTTGGGAAAACAAAAACAAACATTTTGTCACATTAAATGTGGACATCGATTGCGGTTAGTATGTCTGGATCACCATCAGGAAATCGCTACTTGAACCACTTTTCTTCGAGTTTTCTTTGGGTACACCGGTCTCCTCCCACATTTCAAAAATTGGCACAAAAGATTCTTTGAGGTTGAAAGTTGAAATTGTCCATAGATGCTCAATGTCAATGTCCTCGTCCCTCTTTATTTTTGTCCATGCAAATACTTCATGTTTTTCTACTTTCTTCCCTCCAAATTTTGCTGCTGTAAATTGCGAATTTCTCCATTGTGAGACAAATAAAGGTTTTCTTACATTCTTATCTTATTTTCTTATTTCAAGTGTGCTAAGCACTAGTTGTTCACAACCCTAGTGGGATGGATAATTTGTGGAATGAATTTCCTTTCTCGGAAAGTATGGCAAAATAAGAAAATACGTGCATGAACGCATATTTGTTTGTGACACACACAATAAATGTCACAGATATACTATGTGCTATTGCATCCACTGACCCCATGCTGTTGTGACCCCGCCGTGGTCTCACAGGAGCTTGGCAGCACTGTGGCACGTAATTAACTCACCAAAGATGAAAGTCACTACCAACTACTACCTTTTAGACCTATAATGTGCTTTGTATTAAATGACTAGTGTCATAGGCTCGCATGGTGCAAAAGTAAATCTTTAATCAATACACAACAAATGAAATTACCACACAACATTAGCTGAAAACACGAAAGACAATTACCCTTCAGGACACTTATTACCTTCTTCCTGAATACTGGGTAAGATTTTGCTCGATAGAGGATCCTAATGTGAATTTCTCTTGTAATTGTCAGCGTATGCTGATCGCAGAGCCAAGAGTTTCAGCCGCTCGTGGAGTGACCCAACCCCTGTCAAGCCTGACTCACTGCATGACTCCAGAGACAGTGAGTCAGCACCCTTTCCATCTTTCGCCTCCAATGGACAGACAAAGACGACACTTATTCTGCATTCAAACACGAGAAGAATATATTCCAATCTTTCACGAGGACAATGAAAATGTGCTGACACAAACAAGATTGACGCGGTACGGTACTTAAAATGCAAACGCATGAAGATAGTCCATAAATCAAGGCTGCAAATTCATGCAGCTCACACCTTGTCTGAATATTTCTGACTTGGGTAATGAGAAACTATGGCAACATCATTTTTTAGAAATTTTTGCATTTTCTTGGCCAAAATATTCTCAGTGCGTTGGCAGTGTAGTTTAGTGTGTTCTGATCTTGAAAATTTAACAGTGATTCAGTTTCTTCGCAACAGTAGAACCTCCAAGGCGGAACACGCTTGAACCCACGTATATATATATATATATTTCTAAAGACACAAATGGGGGGGCGACTGCATCCTTTTTGCACATTATAATTGGCATTATTGCATTCACTGCTTGTTTGATCCCGTATGGCTAGTGTACACGCTTTCTTCCAATGTTTATCCCATCGACTTAATTTGCATTGTAAATGCTAACTGTCTGGGAGGTTTTTATGAACTCTCACCTCCATTAGTCCGAAATAAAACAACAGGTGCAGCTCCTTCAAATGATGGACGTACTCTTTAATCATGTTTGTGTTCTTCTTTCATCTCACCCTTTGTTGTTGTGCACGTGTGTGTGTGTGTGTGTGTGTGTGTGTGTGTGTGTGTGTGTGTGTGTGTGTGTGTGTGTGTGTGCGTGTGCGTGCGTGTGTGTCTGAGCCAGGTGGCGATATCCAGACCTCGTCAGGGACCCTCAATGAAGGGTTGGATGAGGATGCTGATTGGGGGGATGAAAGAGAGATGGAGAGAGTAGCCTGTGAAGGAGATGATTTCATCCCACCTAAAATCATTGTAAGGCTCAGAATTCACTCTTCAGCCATGTTGACGTTATTGCGTGACTACGGTTCATAGATGACCTTTTACCTTCATACCAAGTGGTCCGTGATCTACCTCACTCCCGCTCTGCATGTTTATTTGCCTCCCTCAGCTTATATCCTCCAAGGTCCCAAAGGCTGAATATGTTCCGAACATCATTCGTAGGGATGACCCTTCCATCATTCCAATTCTTTATGTGAGTAGTAAAAGCTTTTCAGAACCTCCTTTAAGTCATAATGTGCTTTTAAGTTTGTATTTTAGACTTCTTCGGTTTTATGTATTTCAAGCCACACATAAAAAAACAAAAAATTCAACTTCACCATATCATACCCGTTTGTTCGTTCGTTAGTCCAAGCCAGACTTTGCTCAAGCTGACAATGACGCTCATTCGCTTATAATGGGATTTTGTTGAAATGAGCAGAGGTGGGCATGTCAGTAAATTTTGCCGGTCCGTCATTCCTCGTTCGCCAGTCCATCTATTCCAGTGAAGAACCCAAGCCTTGTATCATGAAAACTAAAACAAAGATACACCACAGTATTTACAATCAACATTTACAATCATATAACACACTGAGTGCACCTGAGCGGGAGTCCGTCAATGACAGAAGGTCTGTCAGTATTGACAATGTGATATACAAAAACATATAAAAACCCACTTCAATCGATGTTTAGTCCATTATTTTAATAGCACAACGAATTGACGGACCTTCCATCAGTCTTGACGGAATGCCCACCTCTGGAAATTAATAACTCACATTCACTTACTGAGGGCCAAACTTATAAGATAAACTATATGAGGGTCAAAGTATTGGCACAGCTCTTTGATGATAACAGAGTACGCCCACCTGCCCACCCCTCCTCACGAAAAAAAAAGAAGCAGTTTATTTCCACAAAAATCTCAACATTTACATCATAACTGGCCATACGTGATTCCGTGGCCATTGTAATCACGTAGTATTGGTAAAAAGGAATCCATTATGTTGGGAAGATCCCATCTATAACATCTGTCTATAGCAGGGGTGTCAAACTCATTTCACATTGTTAGCCACATACGGCCTCGGTAGATGTCAAGTGGGCCGGACCCATTAAAATTATACCATACTCTGCTATAATTAACCAAAATATGTCTTTCCTTTGTTTTGGTCTAAGGAAGCACAAGAACATTCGGAAAATGTTGAAATTTAATGAACATATCTTCCAAAACATTTCATGACGCACCTTAGATTTCCTTCGACAAATGTGCAATTGACTTTTAACATTCACATATATGCATTGCAACTGATCACACTGATTGTACAAAGGCACACAACTTTAAAAAGTAATTCGTATTGAAAAATATAGTAATGCACTTTAAGATTAAACGAGATTTATAAAGAAAGGAATTTTTCAACCATTTACACATGTGCATATAAAATCTAAATTTAATCCCTGCCTACACCTTACAAACTAAGGAGAGTGCTTTTAAATGTGGAAAGAATAAAGTATTCACATGTCCTTGATACAGTATACAGTATGTCTGCTGTGTTGGGTCTGTCTCAGTGTCGTCTTCTTTGATCAAAACAATAGCCCCGTTCACACGGCAACGTTAAGGTCCGACGCTGCGCCGAAACAGATCCAGTCGAGCGTTCACACGTGCACATTTGCTCCAACGTAGCTCCACTAAAGAGCTTATACCGGACCAAATTTGATCCACCTCAGGGAGGTGGTTTAAAAATTTGCTCCAGAGCAAATGCTCGTTTGCGACGCTACGCCGGAACAAATGTGCACGTGTGAA